TTCGCGAACGTCGCCGCCGCACTTCAATACCAACATCTTGGATGACGCTAGCGAGAGACAGGAACGGATGAACAGTGCTGTGGCTTGCACGACAAGTGAAGACAGGCCATCTAAGTATCCAAGTAAGTAAGGAAGTAATATTTGGAATGACATCACAATTTCTCAATCCGACGCATTTTAATACATAGCTTTTTACTCATTTCAAAGCGTGCTTGGCAAAATTCTAGGACACGGCAGAAATCCATGAAATATTTTCAAAAATTTGACATCAAAAACACTCATTTAACGCTGCGTTGGCTTCCGCCTGCAAATGCTAATGGATTTTATGAAGGTATATGTTGTATTAGGAGTTTGCTCCATAATTTGCGATATTGAGTTTGGCTTAGTTCTTGCAGAGCTACGATAAAAAGAAAACTTTATAATACATCACTTCACTGGGTGACAACCAACTGCCACCATTGTTGTGCCATATTGTCCGCTTTGTCCTTTTCTAACTATCAAATGGGAGCTTTAAGTGATCAGCTGCTCTTTGATCATAAGTATGAATTGAACAACTTTGGCAAACTCGCTGAAAATCGAGCAATTAAACAAACACTTTTGGTACAGAAGCGCTAGAGGTTACTTAAAAAATTTGTTTTGTCCCTTAGATAGCGCGGGTTCTAGTTTACTGCTTATAACCAGATTTCAAGTTTTTTCCTTAGATTATTAGTGCAACTTACAAATGGGCAATTCGTCTCATAAAATCTTTGTCAACTAGTTAGGTGGTTGCTGGAGCAACCAAGAGATATACGCTAGATAGCGCAGATACACATTATCAAACGTATTTTGCTCTATCTTTTTGTTGCTATTCCATATATTTTGTGGACAAAATTTTGAGCGGGTAAAAAAAAGATAAAAAGCAAGTCTATATTAACTCAATTACTAATAGCTATTGTGCTGATCTGTGTGGGCTGGACTCTATGCATTTTTCCTAAGCCACCAGACAAACGTTATGAGAAGGTTGTTTGTAATAAATCAGCGATCTTTCCTGAAAGAAACTGGGAAGTCCGCCAAGATGAGGAATTATCCTTCTTCGAATAGCGCAAAAGAAGCAGATAATGTTACGGTGTGATCTAACTAGCTTTCACAACATCCGAGTAGCGCCAATTTCGATTTTCTAATTCAATTCGATTC